AAAAAAAAAACATTTCAACACAGTTCTCCCACACAACATGCTCACAGTGAATACATGAATGAAAGAAGAGAGAAACTATGGCTTTACTAATTGTAATTCTGTTGAAATTGAGATGAATCAAAGCTTAAGTTTCATAAACCAAAATATTCTGTGTCCATCTCTAGCGAGAGTAGCTATAAATGGCCATGTAGCAGACAGGATATCTCTGGAGAGAACACAAACACACACACACACACACACACACACACACACACAGACTCTCTCGCTCTCACACACACACCTAAATTTATTAGGACAAACACACAGACACACACACACACACACACACTTCCTTCCTTTATAGGACAGTTTATAGGACACATACTCTCACACATATCTTCGTACATATAGGTAGGTTAACTTGACCTCCAAACAGCTGGTGTAGGAGTGTATGCATTTGTGAATGTGTTTTTCTTGAGTTTTCAGGCACAAACTAGAATTTAAAGGGCGAAGTGTGCAATTTCTGTGCCAAATGAAAATGCAAAAATAATGATTTTTTTTCTAACATGATAAACATCCACATACCAACTTACACTACTGGATGAGCTGGGTCTGGCTAGTCGGATTCTCAAGTACATAACAGAGCTATTAATCATGGTGGGCACAATTTTTAAATATTGACCTGCCATATATTCCTTTCCCCAAACCCCTAAACCTAACCCTCCCAGAAACCTTTTTGTATTTTTACATTTTCATTAACCTGTCATTACCTTCATTAAAAGAATAGTTCACCCAAAATGAAAATTCTATCATCATTAACTCAGACTTATGTTCTTTCAGACCTGTATGTGCGAGTGACTTACTCAGAATGCAAAAGGAGAAATTCTGAAGACCTTTTTCATGCAAGCCTTATAAACTATACATAAGAGTGTTGTTATGCCCCAACAATCTTTACTTCCAAAAATTCTGCTTTAAATCATTTGTTGAGAGTTCACTACTATCAAAAAAAGAACAGTAAAAATAGTAATATTGCGAAATATTATTATGATAACTGTTTTCAACTTGAATATATTTTAAAATGTAATTTATTCCTGTAATGGCAAAGCAGCCATTACTTTAGTCTTCAGTGTCACATTATTATTTTGATTATTTCTTTAAACTTTTTTTTTTTGTGGTGACCGTTCCACGATATACCCACATTGTATTTCTACCTAAACTCAAACCAGCATTACCATCTAATAGCTGAGCTATACTCACTACTTGTTAGAAATGTTTGCTGCAAGTTATGAACACAAGGTGGAGACTGTCTCCACATCAAATTCAGTCTAACTCTGTGTCAGCTGATCTCCAGTCATCACTGCTCTGATCCACTTTGTTAATAGATGACAACTCATGAAAGAGAGAGGAGCTAAAGGGCACCTCATTTCATGTGTTCTCCATCTCTGTCTCCAACCACTCTTTAGTGGGTCTGTGACGTGACAGTGACTGTGTGAGAGACTGATTATGTGTGTGTGAGAATGTGTACATGTATATCTGCTTTCACACACACATACACGCACATACACATACACACACACACACACACACTAGCAAGTAATCATGACATTAAGGTGAAATGACAGGATGAGCTCATCAGAAGTGGTATATCTGGGTCATCTTAAAACTGCCATGTTCCCTGTCATCTCAAAACACACACGCACACACTCGGCCTCTGGCTGCCTCACATGAAAAACGGTATCTGACAGATAGTCAGTAAAACATTAGTTTAGATTAGTCAAAGATGGTTGCATGCCTGTGGTGACACGTTTTTGTGAGATTGACAATTGACTGTCATCTCAGTTTAGTTTCAGAATTTCTTGCAAGTAAATTCACACAAATATGTGCTTTCCTTTTGATCACTTAGTCATTTCATATTTAAGTTATTTAAGGCAACAATCATCTACCATTCTCACCCCATGAACATGCAAAGTAAGCCTATAACTGTCAAAATTTATCATGCTTATGAAAAGAAATCAAAGCAACATCAGACACTCCCTCAATCCTATATATCAGTATTTCTCAATCCAGAATCAAAAAACCCTTCCAATACTGCACATTCTGAATGTCTCCTTTAATTGACAAATTCAGTTAAGCTTCTAGTGGCTAATGAGTTGAATAATGCACATTAGGCTTTGTTCAGACAGGCAGAAAAATAAGATTTTTGGCACATTTAACTCGTATCTGTTTGGGGGGGGGTGGCGGGGGGGGGACACAAACCCTATTCACATGCGATTTACAAGCTGATTAAAATCTTATTTTGTTACTGGAAATATCAGCACCATTAACATTATACATTGCATAAAGTGCTTTTTTTAGTTTCAGTGTTGGTGTAGTTACTGCAGTTTGCCTGTAGAACACTATACTGTAACCAATGTACTGTACTACAGTTCAAAAAGTTTGGGGTCAGTAAGATTGTTTTGTAAGAAATTGATACTTATTCAGCAAGGATCCATTAAATTGATCAAAAGTGACAGTAAAGACAGAAAAAAAAAAAAAAAAAATCCAAAAGATTTTTATTAAAAAAAACTAAGATTTCAAATAAATGCTGTTCTTTTGAACTTTCTAAGCATCAAATCAGCACATTAGACATGATTTCCGAGGGATCATGTAACACTGAAGACTGGATTAATGGCTGCTGAAAATTCTGCTTTGCCATCACAGGAATACATTAAATTTGAAATATATTAAAATAGAAATCAGTTATCTTAAACTGTAACAATATTTCACAATATTATTGTTTTACTGTATTTTTGATAAACCAAATGCAGCCTTGCTGAGCATAAGAGACCTCTTTCAAAGACATAAAAAAATTGTACCAACTCCAAACTTCTGAACAGTAGTGTAGATGTAAATAAGGGCAAGAACCAAAATATGGTTGGGGACCTCCAAGATCAGGACTAACATCGTGTCTACACTGGACACGACAGTTGTCACGCCGCTCCGCAACAGTTAAATTCTGTCTACATTGGACGCGACAAAGCGACCATTGCAAATCATTTGTCCTTTGTGTCAGTACATCATAAATAGAACAAGGCAGCAGTTTACTGTCGGGGATTTGTCGTGTCGCGCTGCATCCAGTGTAGACAACATCACAGATTATAATAGGTTCTATTGTATTTTGCCGTGTCGCACCACACCGCTTGCATCCGGTGCAGTGGTGTAATGTAACGCAGTAATAATACTTTGTTACAGTACTTAAGTATTTTTTGGTGGCTGTTCTATATGCAAGCATCAATGTCTTATAAATATAAATATATATTTATTTGCTTCTTTTCCATTTTGCATTTACTTGTACTTTTACGTTCAATACTTAAGTACATTTAAGATTTAAAAAATACTTTTCGTACTTAAGTACAATAAATATCACATACTTTAAGACTTTTACTCAAGTAATATTCTAAACGGTGACTTCAACTTCTACCAAAGTCATTTTCTGGTAAGATATTTGTACTTTTACTGGAGTATGGCTTTCAGGTACTTTATACACCACTGGTCCGGTGTAGACACAGTGTAAGAAACACTGGCACAGAATACAAGTTTTATTATTATCAAAAACCGCACAGGCTTATTTCCTCGTTTTGGCTAAAAATGGCAGTAATATTGCATTTGACAGTACATTTTTATTGCTGTCTTACCCTGAAGAACTCTTTGGTGGAACCGGAGTCGAGTGTTCCGTAGGCGATCTCAGTCTGCTTGGCCAGGTCTTCTGCACTCTCTATAGGTGACACCATCCTTTCCACAGTCAGGAAAGCAGCCAGATTGGCAGTGTAGGATGAAATGATGATCAGAGTGAAGAACCACCACACACCTCCAACAATACGGCCAGACAGAGACCTAAGAGAGAGGGAGAGAGGGAAAGAGGGAGCAAGAGAGACAATGGGAGAGCAAACAAATTCCCTGTGAAAGGTTAACAATTAGTACAGATGTATTAAAACTATTACTGCCGATAAAAGATGTAAATGTCTTCAAGAAACTGACAAAAAATCACTCAAAGTACAAGTGAAGCTTCTGTTTGGACAGGTCTATTTCATGAGAGACAGCGGAAAGATGAGGATGAGAAGAACAGGGTCACAAAGATGACCTCAAGAATGAAAGACAAGACTTCAAGAGAAATAAGGTGAGTACGATGGGCAGGAAAATCGAATGAATGAATAGACGAATGATGGAATGAGTGAAGAGGGCTGGCACTCCTCCACTGAAACAGTTTATAAACACCAACTGCTGACAGTAAAATTAAAGACATGCAGCAAGAACACGGTAGCCCTCCAAGAAAGAGAAAAAGAGTGAAAGAGAGAAAATCTGAACATTTTACAGTCAACACATGGTGAATATAAATTATTTTAGTTGGTACCCAGCAGTGGTTCTCAAACTGCAAAGCAGTATGATTTATTTATTTATTCAGTTAGTTAGTTTTGGATATCATAAAAGCCATCTTTTGATTTTTAAATATTTTTTTAATAAATATTTTTTTCCCACAAGTTTTTTTATACTTTAAATAATTAAAAAACACATTAGATTATTACTCAAAATATGCAGTTTTCATTGTGTTTTGTTTAATAATTGTTATCATTAACAAGAAAAGTTTCAACAAAAAACTTATAATGTAACATCAAAAATATCTTAACTGCTGGTGTATTTCAAATTGCTTATTATTTTCCTCATTTTTAAGTTGATTCATACAAAATAATCTGTTAAATGATTGTCATTACAAAATTGGCTACGAATACTGACAGATGACGACATTATTGGGGTGAATGTACTACAAAGGTTTCTTTAGTTTCAAAGAGGACTATGACTAAAAATTGAGCCTCTGATTTAAAACAAGCTGTACTTCAAAAGAGAAAAAGGGGAGATAAAGACAGGAAAAGTTGTAGTGACCATATTGTGATTGATGAGTGACTGACTGAGTGAGGGAGTGACTGAAGGAATGAAAATGAATGAACAAGTGTATAAATGAGTGAATGAATGAAGTGACGAAAGTGATGACAGAATTTGTTAAGGTTAGAAGATAAGCTTATTAAAATGTGAAACACCCCAATTAGAATAACATATATGCACCATGAAAGACAAGACGACCATAAAATGCAAAGATGAGGGGAGCAATAAAGATGAGGATGGAGAGACAAGTATGGGCTAAATAATACACCAACCTTGGCGAGATATCGCATCCTTGCTGCATGAAAGCTCCAAGAGAGAACCAGAGACTGTTAAAGATGCCGAAGTCGTTGGGCGGGTCGGGTGGCGTCTGTTGATCCTTCGCCTCTTCATTCTCATCCAGGTGCCATTCATATGGACTGAAACGACTCACCAGGAAGAGAACCACGCTCACACCGATATATGCAAACACGATACACATCCAGATTTCATAGGCCAGCGGATCCAGGAAGGAGAAGACTCCTGGTTTGGACTTCTGTGGTTTCTTTATCATGATGGAAATGCCCAGACTCATGAAGGGCTTGGAGAAATCTATCGCCTCCTCCCGGACAAGGGTTATAGTGAGAGGAGCCACAGCTATATCTGCCCTCTGGAAACATGGAACACAATAAAGCTCAGTTCATGATATGAAAAAAAATGACAATAAAAATGCAAAAACTGAGGAATGATCCAGCTGTTTGAATACCAAAAAAAACAAACAAAAAAAAAAAATCCTTAAATAAAAATCACCTGAGATGATTAATTGATATGCATCTCATATATTCATGATATGTTGAATGGCACACAAAAACAAAACAAAAGCAGAGACACACATGCACTCACTTTCTTACGGTGAATAAAAAATAAGTTAGTTATGCTACTCAACTTTAACAGGAACCAAATGGGTGGAGCTGATTTTTGTTTTCCCAAAAATAAATGCATTTTGAAGGCCTTTACCCATGGTACCACATGCAGAGAGGCACTAATTTGGAGCTTTATCCTGTAAAAACACTGACCATGACCAAAGACTTGGGTGATGTCAGCAACACCAGCATACTGGAAATAATTTAAAAATCACATTACAGTGTCAAAATAAATCATGTGCCACAGGAAAGAATGTTGAGAACAACTCTGAAAAGTACCAAATTGTAAAATGTTAAAATTTAGCTAGAAAATCTTGCATAACATCATTTGAAAACCTACAAAAAAGTGATTTTGTGACTTTTATTTTGACAGAGTGGTCAGTGATTTTATATAAGGTCTCTTAAGGGTTGCTGGCTTCACACAGCCACTATCCCACCACTGACAATTTCCCATCGCAGGATCATTTTTCTAGCACTCACCCCATATACCAACTCCCCCACCATGCCGTTCCAGGTCTTGGTCTCAGGGTCGCGTGCTCCATATTTCCCATCAGCTACAATGGACAGTTTGTACCTTATGCCCACGTGCTTTGCGATTTCTGATGCCAAGTCTACACAGTAGCCCTCATAGCGATCATTCCCTTCCATCTGCATATAATTCCTCTTGTACATTACATATGGAGCTTCCTGTTAACCAAATCAGATGAGGTTCAGCCGGCTTTCAGACTGATAGCCCAGAACACACACACACAAAAAAAATCACTGATTAGTCTGCAATCATGCTAATGTCTCACACATATACACTTTCACACCTCTTTCATTCTTATGCGTTCACACAAACACATACTGAAATATAAACATGCATTGTGAGTCTCATAACAGCAATGTGACCAGCAGCCATGCTACCAGAAAAACAGCAATTGTGAGGAGGGCAAGTTTGAATTTTGTGGACAGTGCTATTTAATGGTGGTTTCTGATTTCTCAAATTGGAGAGAGAAAAGAACTGACAGAACTCACACACGTATGTGTACAGTGCATGCAGAAGGGTTAAAGAGGGTATAGCAGACGTTTTCTCACACGTGTGTGATTTTAACTATTTTAATCAGGCCAAACATTAACTGATCTGATGAAACTTCAGCATTTAATGCAGATCAGAATTTTGCTTTAATATCATCAGATCAAACTCTAGTTTTCTTTCATCTTATTTACTGAACCCCATCATCTATATTTTAATTAAGTTGGTTTCCAGCAATTTAAACTCGTGTCAGTTTCTTTACACAAGCTGTGCAGAACGAAACATTCTTTTTAGATGTCTTAAAAGTCTGTTTAGATTAAACTAATCATCTAATTAACCTGCTTTCAATTTCTGTACCTACTTATGAGGTCATCATAGGCAGAGCCAGAAAGAGGTCGTCATCACTTTTAAATGTAACATAAGGCGAACCATATGGTACATTTAAATATTTCTTTGCTTCTCTAACTAATTTTACTGACATATATTAATGTAACTATAACTGGTCTTATAAACTTTCATTTTGCTAAAGTAATGTAACTTATCTGTATTAAAACTGCTGACACAGTTCTGAAGTTCATTTTATTTTTTCCTACCAAGATTTGGTTTCTGTGACCTTCAGGTTATATATTATTCAAAAGATTAATTACCATATTCATCCTTTAATCAATATTCTTTCAGTTTCATCTCAGTCCTCTCCTCTATCCACCCCTGCGCTCAAGTTCTCAGAGTTCTTCATTAAGGACGTAATTATGAAACTCGTTTAAGCCCCGCTGTATTCACTGTACAGCCCCAACCAACTCACTTCCAGCATTTGGTTCAATTAACGTGTTTGTTTGAACACAGTGAGTCGTTCAACATAACATTTCCAGTAGGCAAAACATCTCTACGTGCATAACCTGGCACATGTCCTGTCTGAAATTCTCTAGATTAAGAAGTTCTGCATTTCTTGTTATTTGTTAAAAAATGGGATGGACAGCTAAAGTCAATATGAGAAGAAATAAAATTCAAAATAAATTTTGCCATTTTGAAACAGTTCACTCGAATGTAGTCATCACTTTGTTTTAGGTCGGGAGTTACAAAGTAAGTGCAGCTCAGTCTCTTTTTGATCTAAGTCAGATTTTTCATTTTTAGTCAAAGAAAGTTGCAGCTGTATGTCAGAGGATGCATCTCAAGAGTGGCTGTGCATTTGTATGCATCTTATTTTGTAATTCTTTATTTTTAAAGTCAAATATATTGAAGTTCATTGGTTTGGTTAAATTTAAGACAGCACAAGTCATGTTCAAAGCAATAAATAATTTACTTCTGGGAAGTTTACAAAATATGTTTATGGAAAGGCAGGGTGGGTATAATTTAAGAGAAGAATTAAACTTTAAAATGCTTAAAGTAAGAACAACTCTAAAAAGTACGTGCATTTCGATTTGTGGGGTGAGGTTGTGGAATTGTTTGGAGCAGGTGTTAAAAATGTTCAAATATTAAACAGTTTTAAAAAATTGTATAAAAGTATCTTACTAAAGGGATATGTGGACGAATTGAGGTGATTGTGAATGTGGGTTATAATGCTGATGGGATTGGGATGTGTGATTATAGGGTGATGGGTTGTTTGGGATAAAATGTAATTGTAATTGATTTAAATATACTGGAACGATATGGAACTGTATAAGGGGTGGGAAAAATAACAAGCTTTTGCATCATCCTGCTCCTTTTCGGACTTGTTGTAATTACTGTTTGCAGCATTTGGTAGATGTGGGTTTGCCTATGTTATGTCGCAACACATTTATTGTGTTTGTATATTTTGTTTTATATATATTTTCTTTGTTTGAAATAAAAATGAAATGAAATGAATTCATTGTAAAAAAAAAAAATCTTTGTCTTTATTCTATACTATTTTTTATTTTTGGTTTTGTTAATTTTTATTTTGACACTTTTTTTAATGAGGACAAAATTACAGAGTGCACCATTTTTCCAAATCAATTATTTATTTGTATTTATTACATTAACTACAATTATTTTATTAATTATAATTATTTTCATTATCATTACCTATAATGATATCATAATGATTTACATTATAGCCTGCTATATATATATATATATATAGTAATATCACTGGAACATAATATTGAATGAACAGGCTTTGAGCTAGTTCTCAATCACAACTCTTCACTTAAATAGTGAATTATAAATTAGAGAAATATGTAAAAGGAGTCTAATCAAATACTTGAATTGGACTGATTTGCTATTGAGTGGGCACTAGCCACACTCACTCACATAGCTACATCCCTGCTTATATTCATCATTTTGGCGTGGACAGTTATGTCATTTTTAGGGAGCTAAATAAAGAACAAACTGTCTGCACCTATTGGGACATCTGATTGGACAGCTGGATATTAAAAACAGGACCTCAGCCAGAAAACACAAAACACATCTGAACTCTGAGGGGAAGAAAACGAGAGACTTTACTTTGCATCTTTTTCTGATGCTTACTATTTCACACAGTGTATGAGAAAACCATCAGCCATGTTTTGTGTGTATATTTCTTTATATTTCCTGCAATTTGCATCCAGCTTGGCATCAATTCAGTCATTCAGTACTTACGTTTGATGAAGTGAGAGAAGCAGAGAGATGGACATTCTAACCTATTTCTTACCAAAGCCAGTATTGTGATGTCACTGCTACAACAGGCCACCGGAATGGAACTGAAAATGCTTTGGCACTCACACTGATAAAGTTGAAACACTCTTCTGTGATCGACTGTTTCAACATGTAGTGAGTGAGTGCAAAGCAAAGCAAAGCAAAACAGAAAAACTTTCTGCCCACCCAGGATGCAATGCAACTGTGACACTAAACCTGAAAGGGCAGAAGGATCATGGTTCGGTATATTTAAAAGCAGCTTTAGATAGTGTACCATAATAGTAGTGACCACAATGGTTCTGTTTTCCACAGAGGAGGATTCGTTGGTAACCTGCTGCTCCACTATATAAACAAATTTCTCATATTCATTCCAGTAGCCAATCTGCAAGGGACAGAAACAGCAACAGCAACAGCATAAACAGAATCAATCAATCATAGTCGACCAATAACAGAAAAACAGCAATTCAGTAAGAGAATGACTCAGTAGAAACGTGATCTCATGACTGATGGAGGATGAAAAGCAAGTATGAGGGCAGCTGGAGCATTTAAGTGTATGTTAAAGGGGTCATATCATGAGAAATATAATTTTTCTTGAGCTTTCAAGAGAAAATATTTACTTGCACTATATGAAAACATATTGTAACAAAAAAATTAAAAGATAAAAATAAGCAAAAAAAGGGCAGAGAAAAAACAACAAAGTAACTCGAGGCTTTACTGCGACAGTAATATTGTTTGAATTTATAGAAACTGTCCTCCCAGAGCCACTAACCTTTCTGGCTCCTCCTGGTTTCATTTCATAAACATCAATGGTGTAATTTAATCGCCGTCCAAATGAGTCGAACTGAATATTTCCCGTCATACCCTGAACCTGAACCTGCGGGAGGAAAGCACACAGGAACAGTAACACCCACAAAATAACAAGCACAGCAAAAAAGTAAAGCATGATACAACATTATTAAATGTAAAGGAAGTATCATATAACCATATAGACCCTTATGTAGCCCGCCCCTTTTCAGCACTGCGTTCATTGTGTTCTGTCTTCTGGTTTGTATTTCCACAGCATGAAGGTAAGATCTTATGGATTTATGAAGTAACTGCTCGTTTTAAAATATTCCCGGTCTACTGACATTTTATATGGCATCCACTTCATACATTACAATGCTCATGATAACTTTTGTTAACTCTATAATAAGTAAATCCACTTCAGCAGCTAATTACTCTTTAACAGCGATGCCATAGAAATATACAGAGCTACCGCACAAACGGAAGTGAACACAAAATTCGAAAGATGGTTGTGCGCTTGTTTCTCTGGCACATTAGGTCTAAAGGTAAAAAGAAACACAAACCATTTCAAATCCATCAAATGTAAATGCTTATCTAAACATCATTGCACATTCACTGATCATTAAAAAATGTGAACGCAGCTTTTTTTCCCTACATTTTTTTTCTATCTCTGAGGCCCTTTATGGACCCCACCTACCATTTTGAGAGCTCTCTCAATGTCGATTCCCTGGCTCCACGGTACAGCTGGGTTGGCAAGGCAATCGCCTGCACTCCCTCGACGAGAAATATCAACACGCTGAAGTCTCAAATACCGAAATGCTTCAGCTATCACCAGGATGGCATCATGTGTCAGTGCAGAGGTGTACTAAACATGAGAACAAACAGATAAATGGTTTACATGTAGTATGGACACATCGGTATAAAAAGAGAACCAAGCAGACATTCACATGCACAACACTCAAAGCTCATATTCTATTCTATTTAACACTCAGTGAATAGCTGGGACATTATGGGAGAATATAAGTGACGTGACATGTGGCCAAGTATGGTGGCCCATACTCGGAATTAGTGCTCTGCATTTATCCCATCCAAAGTGCACACACACAGCAGTGAACACACACACAGTGAACACACACCCGGAGCAGTGGGCAGCCATTTTTTTTGCTGCGGCTCCTGGGAGCAGTTGGGGGTTCGGTGCCTTGCTCAAGGGCACCTTAGTCGTGGTATTGAAGGTGGGAGAGAGCGCTGTACATTCACTCCCCCCACCTACAATCCCTGCCGGTACAAGACTCGAACCCACAACCTTTGGGTTACGAGTCCAACTCTCTAACCATTAGGCCACGACTTCCCCAACAACACAGATATGAGTGCTATGTTAAACTCTTAACTGTTATCTTAAATTACTCATACACACATATAAATAAATTCCACAAACATATTCACAAGTGGCATACTCACAAATAAACACATCATCACAAATGCACATAAATAAGAATAGAAATAAAAAGACAGAGAGACCTTCAGGGGGGTGTTTCTAGACTCAGGGAACTCTCTCTCATCGAGCCGCTCCCAGCGCTGAAGGAACTGCTGCACGATCGGGCTATCAGGATTTATGATTTGGAATCCGGTAATATTTGCTCCGCCAGAAAACACCTTATCCAAACTCATGTTAGAGAATCCCTGCAGAGAGCAAGGGTCAATGGTAAAAAGTGAAAAGTCACTCACAGAAGGTTAAGAAAGAAGAGATCTGGGCATGTGTGTGTATTTTCTCACAAGATTAGCCAGGATGTAATGATATCCTCGACTGTTCTTTCCTGAGATCACGACCTGGAAATAAAAGAATGGAAGAGTGTCACCCAGCATTATGTTTGAATGTTTATGCAGACCATGAGATCAAAAAGAACGAATCAGCAAACAACAAATTAAATGCAAAAGCCTGAAGAACTGATGTGATTCTGTAACTATGGGCAATTTGTGGTCCCAGCGGTGAAAAAAAGGTGGAAAGCTTGCTTGAGTTTTTCTTTTTTTTAATAGTAAATAACTGGGGGAAAAAATGCACTGGGGAAAATTACTGTTTTTATTTTTATTAATAGTATAGCTGAATACTTTAGTATTTTTTTATAAAAAAATACTAAAATGTCAAAAAGTGACAAAAACACAAAAAATACTAAAACTTAAAAATTTAAATGAAAACAGAAAATATAAAAACTAGTTCATTTAACTAATTAAAAATGAAAATTTTTTAATTTGTTAAAATAACTTTAAAATTATCTTAATTTGCTAAATTAACTTTAAAATGAACTTCACTTAAAAATTAAATTAATTTTTACTATTTTAAAAAATGAATAAACACTATCATAGTATCCCAATTATACTAAAATAACAGCACTCAAACAATACTTCCCCAAATAATGTCATTACTGCATTTTTAACTGTGGTGGTGCTGACCAGGTCAGTAGTGCCCATATTCACATAATCAGAAATGAAAGTCTCCATTGTCCTACTTGAACCAGTTGGGCGCAATCGAGCTGTTATAATATTGTGTCTTCCCACACATCATGTTATTATTTATTGTTCTGCAAAGTGTAGCACTTGAATACATTGGCAATATTGAAATTTTTAATGCCGTGCCAGTAAAGCTTTGCTGACTCTTAGGCACAACATAAAGGTACGACCCAACCACACCCACACACACACAGATATTGATTTACAAATAGCAGCAGACAGCCAGTCTGCTAGAAGTGCAGAGCTCTGATTAGCTTTCTCTGAGTGCTGATTGATCAACTCGTGGATTTCATTATCTCTGTGACCTCCTAGTGACATACAGACACACACACATTCTTTTCTCTCCATGTATATGTGTGTGTGTGGGGAAAAAACTAGGAAAGTAGAGACAGAGGGTAAAAAACAGAAAGACAAAGAACAAGTGAAAGAGACAAACAGAATCGGAGAATGTAACAGTACCTTTGAGAGCTGTATTTTTGGATGAGAGGAAAGGGAGTATTTTTAGTTTTCTCACTGTTCCCTTGTTACAGGACGCTGTGCCCTACTTACACAAACACACGCATGCTCTCACACACACTATTTTTATCACCTTATTTGCTAACAATGGTTGAATTTTGGAAAGGTATTAATCAATACCACAAAACTGAGACAGAACCGTTCCCCACCACGACAGACAGAAAGACAGGCCCTGTAAACTGACTGACAGATACACAGTCCGACAGATTAAATGAAATTAAATGATGTATGTATATGTGTTTTTATGTACCTGCTCTAGAATACTGTTAATACGTTCCACCTCACAGTCGATAAGGAAACGTTTCTCCTGCCGACGATCCATTTCTTCAATAATGCGCCGGTATTCCAGTGGATCCACTATGTTCCCCACCGAACGTGCTGTCACCTGCCAATTATTCATCACTGCAGATTCCATGATGGCCTGTAGGATGGAAAACCCTGAGAGAGAAAGAGAGAATAATACATGGTGTAAAATACACCGCATGGCTTGTGTAGATGTAGTAACGGCAGAATTGGGCCAGAATGATGGAGCAAGTACTGCTTCATTTCTCTCTCTGGTTTGAGAACATAGAGGAACTGCTGATGCAGTGCAAATCTGAAGGGATGAAAAGAGGGAAGGCAAAGAAAGAAGCATGGTGAATGTAATTACTGCAACTCTGTACTAATGATGCTAATGCAATGGTAGAACACACATTTTATATCAAACATATATACGTTTGTGCATATGTGTGCAGGTGCATCTCAGGCTTTCATTCATATATTTCAGATAGGCTTCACTATAGATCAGATCCATTGCAGATTATGTCTTTACGCTACTAATCAGGTCGGCTGCAATACATCAGATCCACTGCAGCACATATCAGACCCCTGCATAGGCACCCCACCCCAGCGAGGGGGAGTTTGCTTGCTCTGATATAAGCTGTTTCCCTAACATAAAAAATCAGACTATTTCAAAACAATTTGCGAATAAATCGGTGTTTTCATTCGATGTGTTCAAGAGAGAAAAAAAATTTATTCTATGAAAAGTGGTGCAAAACAGAAAACAAATATTGTATTTGGTCTTTTTACTGAATACAACATTTTAAAAATATGTCAAATATAATAATAAAAACATACTGCGGCTCTCTAGGACCGAACTTGCCTACCCCTGCCCTAAAGGGTGCATACCTTAAAGATACAAATTAGCGCTTAATTAGCAAGAGTATAGTAAAATAAAAATAAAAACATAAATTATATATATATATATATTTTTTTTTTTTATTCACTTTACAAATGTGGGTGTTCCCATCCACAATTTTTTAATGCAATATATCCAAATCTGCATATAAATGCCCTAAACCTCGTTTAACAATTATTTAACATTATTAATAGATTACAACATATGATCATGAATATACATGAAATTTCTGTACATTCGTGTTTCCTTTGTTCTTTCAAACTGAGGGACAACTCTGAATCATTTGTATGTATTAACAGACAACAGAGACACTCTCAGAAAAATGGTACAAAAGCTGTCACTAGTGTGGCCCCCTTTTAAAAGGTACACCCCTAAATTATTTACGTAAAACTCAACTGTTTAACTCTAGGGGAGTTGGAAAATGAGCCTATTTTCAAAAATAGTGGAGTGTTCCTTTAATGTGTAGTACCTTCTGAAAGGGTACCACCCCAGTGACAGCTTGGTATCTTTTTACCTTAGAGTGCACCACAGGTGTACTTAACTCAGAATTTCCATCAAAGGATTCAAAGCAAACACAATGTAACAGAAATGTTCACTAACACCCTTTATAACCTCCAGCTCAAGGCCATACAGGACACAAATCAGCCCTGTTCCATTCTGTCTTGTTTTTAGCCCTGTGATCACATTCATTATAGGACAACACACACACACACACATACATTCAATCAATCACTATGTTAATTAGCATACATCCTGGAGTGCCAGGCCGCAAGGCTGTTTAGCCGTGACCAATTAATCAAGACTGACAGCTTGCAGAGAGGTGAGAATTCAAAAGACATACATACACACAAGCACTTCACCTCTTAGTCATACATGTTAGTATAAGTGGAAGGCCATATATCAGACCCGCAAAGGTTTATTAAAGATGATTAAACACGAGTTTCTCATTAGCGATAAGAGGGTCTTGCTAAACATTGTATGGACAAAATCTTTTACAGCACCTTCATTAAACATGGTGAAAAATGACTGAATGAATAATACTTAAAGTAGGTTAAGATGAATTTTAAAATTGTGCTCCTTAAAAGCACGATCGCGTTCCGGGGAGGGTCCCCCTCGGTCCATTCGCCGTGGGGCCAGGTGCGACCGCACCACTTGCACCCCCCTAAGGACGGCCCTGGTTTTGGTGCACTTTCTCACAACACGTTCTACAATGATTACATATTAAGTCGGTAGGTAGGTAGACAGATAAGAATAATAAGAATCAGGTGAAATGTGTTTTTGACTACCTCTGGAAGTGGTTGAAAGTTAACAAGCTCTAAATGATTTAGACCCCCTTTACACTTGTATTTACTGTCATCCACTCATGATCGGATCAGCAAAGATGCATATTAATAGCAGGTGTAAACAGGGCCTGGGCCATTTAGTCCGCTTAAACCCCAACCCACTCACTTTTGAGTGCAATGCCCACACCTCAAAATCCAATCAACAACCGATGCATAGAGTCAAATCACCCTGCTTTTTTTATTTTTCAATAATCTGTTACATCCAGATATACATCAAAATACAGAAGAAAAGATCTGTTGCTACAAAGGGATAGTTCTGTCATCATTTATTCACCCTCATGTTGTTCCAAACATGTATGACATTTTTTCTTCTGCAGAACACAAAAGAACATATTTTGAAGAATGTTGGCAACCAAACACTCTGAGACATTTCTCAAAATAACTTCTTTTCAGTCACAATTTTCTTTTTTGGGCAAAAACTGACAGCCACTGACAGTATATGTGTTTGTGTGTGTCTTTACTCACCTCTATCAGTATCATAAAGGTAGACAAATTTCTCCCATTTGTAATGGGCTAGCAAACTGAGCAGTGCCCCCCGGAGGCTTGGCCTCATCTGCAGGACAAACTGCACATCTGTGTCCGTGGGAAAAGATGGAGTGATGAAGGAGGTGTGCAGAGCACCGCAGAATGACGTTAATGTGTTCATTGACCTCCTGTCGTAGAATCCAAATATTGCATATACACCCCTGGAGAACTGAGAACAGACTGCAAGACCAAGAGAAAGACGGAAGCAGAGTCAGTGTTCATTTCAGGATAAACAAACATTAGGCACACAAACACTCATAAGCATTTTGTATTATGATGATCTCGACTGAGTGTGTGTGTATGTGTGTGTGTTTGAGTCTTTAAAAGCGATCTAAAGAGACAATAGCCTGTCCGCAGAAATGGAAAGGTTATGACATCTGGTTTAATGTCACAGGCTGCATGTATTTCAATACGATGTGAATTCATCAAAAATCCAAATCAAATGACTTGTTATTTTTATTTTAAATACCCTAAATGCAGTTGTCACCTAAATTATTTAAAGAATGTTTCTAAATCTGGCAAACATGTAGCTAAGCTGACAGTAGACGGATTGAGTTCACTGACATCTCTACAGTAATATATGAAAGAATGCCCAGAAAAGTCAATGTTAAGCATTAATTCAGGTTTAGTGCTGTATTATTAACTGAATATTTACAACCTCACGTTACCCAGAGGGAGGACATTTTTACTTTTGTTTCCTGAAGCAAATAATTTTTGCCTTGCACAAACACCTGCTTCTTGAAAAGTAAGAGAGCGAGGGAGAGAATAGGAGAGACTAACAGACCATGGCATGAATAGAGGTTAGCCGATTCTAGGAAAAGGAACAAATGGGACAAATGTTCCTAAATGTGTCCAGAAGATATACAAACAAAAAAGTAAGAAAAAAAATAGGTGGTATGTCGACATGAGGGAGAAAAAAGAAGGAAAATACAAGCAAATGTCACATTACTCAGAGAGCCCAGAGGTTAAAAATCATCACACATAGATGAACACACATTCACGGCCTACATTTAAAAGCATACATGCTCAAACATTCATACAGCAAAGCAAATACATTCATACACGATTGAGAACTTTGGTACAACAGAGAGACCAACACAGAACACCTCTGCAAACACTGTAAAGGCCCGTTCACACCAAGGACGATAACTATTAAAATAACGATAAAGATATAGTTCTAAAAATCTTTCTCATATTAAAAAATGGCAGAGTCCACACCACAGCTATAACGATAAAGGCACAGAGAAACGATATCGTTGGAATCACTTTCAGAACGATCCAGCTGATGAACAATAAAATCATTGACAGCCAATCAGAATCAATCCTGCCATAACGAGCTTGAGAATTTAAAGCGGCAGACGAGCGTGCGCTTGGAATAAACAGACAATATCGTCCGCTGGTGTGGACGCTAATATAGTTATCTTTATAGTTATCGTTCTTGGTGTGAACGGGCCTTAAGAGACTACAGGCAAACAAACACACACATTGAGTCCTGCACCTAAAGCCATATCCACCATAGACGCTAAGGGTGACACATCCCCAATATTCAAATTAGTGGTCTATCTAAATGTTTTTTTTATAAGCAGATTTTAAATCCATTAAAATTGCATCGGTTACCAATGCTCTCCTTTGCACCTCTGCTTCACACTCCAGTCCAGTAGGTGGCGGAAGCCCTGTATGATGCACCAGAAAGTGAAACATTTTTGTGGCCAAAAACTGTCTGTGATTTTTCTAAAGCTTTTTAATTGTCTTGAAAAAGACCGTTTATAACAAGTGGCTAAATATGACTACAGAACCAGAGTGATGCTAACCGCCGGGTTAACCTTCAAAAATACATCATCACTTTGGTGCTCTATTTGGTTGTTTTTCACCAAAACCAATCAAAGTGTTTGGACAATGATCAGCGAGATACATACATTCAAAGTGAGTCACGATGTAATATCATTGTCCTGAATTCACCAACTGGATTTTCATGAAATGTGTCTAAAGAAGAAAGAAAATCATATGGCTCATATCTACACACAACTGGAGCATTGCATTTGTCTGGGTATCTGTTTTAGTGTGATTGCGTGTTTTAGGTGGTCCTGTCTTGCTCTCTTTCTATATTGATCGCACCTCAGTGGAAATCAGCTCTCACCATGAGAACAAACCATCACTGCAGTTCAGAGAGACACATTCAGCTCTTACTCACTCTCACATTCAGTCCTTTAAGCTGAAGTGTGTGTGATTTTTATGTTTTTTAAATGTATTTATTTATTTATTTTGTTACTATACTTTCTACTATCTGAGCTTAATAGAGAGTCATCTACAAGTAAGCCATTTTGTAGTTGGATTTTCCTGAAAAGTGTAAATACTGTGGCGCAATCAAATTATTGCTCAGCTTGTTTGAGCAGTCCAACATAGCAACACTGACTTGACCCATGATAAGATTTTATGGTGAGAATATCTGTTTGTCTGACCAATTACAGACATGAGAAGTGTTTAAACCTATAAAACAACTACAGGTGCACAATATATCAGTGGCTATTTTGCATTGTGTACTCCAAAAACGTAATGTCTATAATTTGAAGGTGAAACTAATATGTGACCCTGGACCACAAAACCAGTCATAAGGGTCAATTTTTCGAAATCGAGATTTATACTTCATCTGAAAGCTGAATAAATAAGCTTTCCATTTGTGTATGGTTAGGATACAACAATATTTGGCTGAGATACAACTATTTGAACATCTGGAATCTGGGGGTGCAAAAAAATCTAAATATTGAGGAAAATCACCTTTAAAGTCCAAATGAAGCTCTTAGCAATGCATATTACTAATCAAAAATTAAGTTTTAATATATTTACAGTAGGAAATTTACAAAATATCTTCATGGAACATGATCTTTACTTAATATCCTAATGATTTTTGGCATAAAAGAAAAATCAATAATTTTGACCCATACAATGTATTTTTGGCTGTTGCTACAAATATACCCCAGCGACTTAAGACTGGTTCTGTGGTCCAGGGTCACATATGTATCAATTTAAATATGGAATCAACAGTTTTGGACTACACATATGCATTGTGAAGTGTAGATTATTTACAAATTTAATACAAGCGAGTGTTTTTTTAACCAAATCGCCAACAAGCAAAATTACTGGTTATTGTATTGCCCATAACATGCTGTTAATAATTGGTTATAGTTATCAGTAATTTCTTACAGTTTCATCAAAGTCAAAATATTGAATCTTTTTTGTACTGTTCATATTTATTGTGGGATTATCAAACAGAAAAAAAAAGTAGAGATAGCAATTAATGCGAGCTTGCAGTCGATTGTAAGAAATGGGCAGAGTTTATGAGGACGAAATTATTACATAAATACGGCCCACATCACTTGAGAGAAGTCTGATATTTCACCGGAAGATTGAGTTATGACATTTTCATAAAAAATTACAAGGTCAAACAAAATTGTAAAAATGAAATGGAAGAATCGTTTAATAAAACCAATTACATGCATTTAGAAATTTCAATTTCATGCCGACTTTAAAAGTTATTTTTGCTATTCCAATTGGTAACGCTAGTGGCGTAGAAATGACAGAGACGAGGTAATGATTACATGTCTCTCTCTCTCGCTCTGTTTTTCTCTCCTTCATTTGTTCGTCTAACTGAGCCAGCAGGTTAACATCTGCTTGCTGCCTTTCTGCCCTTCTTTTCATCTGTCTCTCGAACGCTCCAGGGAATAATAAAGAAAAAACTATGCGAAGACGGAAAACCATAGAGAGGGAGAGAGAGCAAAAGAGTGAGTGAAAAATAACCTGTTTACAGACCCTCTGACCCCTAGTCTTCTCTCCTCTACGCAGATTGCCTCAATTAAAACAGCAGGGTCACTGCATACGTAAGCTGTCAAAACCTTTTGCTCAGGAACCGTTTGACGCACAACTCACTCTCACAGCGCTGTGAGCGACTGTACCGAGGTAACACCTGACTAATACAAGCACTGCATGCAAACGTGCGTGTGCTCTGATTCAAAGACATCCCCAGAGAGAAAAATAAGTGTCTGTCTCCATTTATGAACCATTCTTGCATCACTGTTAAAGCACTTTGTCTTTCCTGTCATGTTATTCCTGAATATGTACTTTGAGCTTTGAGAGCATCTCCGCAGAGTTTTTTCATTAAACTTTAAAATCACCTTCAGAGTCTGAGAGGTTATGTGAATATGTCTCCACTCGCAAACTTTTTTTATTTATATTTTTAAAAGCCCAGCCGTTTTTGTCTGATGGGCTAACCAGATGCCTGAAGCAATGTGTGTGTATGTGCGTGTTAATGTAGTGAAGAAAGATCAATGACTGCAGCAATAACCATCATGATAAGCTAGGAAACCAAAAGCTCACAAACACAGTCTCTCACACAGACACGCTCAGATGAGCAGCCAGGCCAGTCAAAGACACAAAATGGTAATGACAGCAGCTGTAAACAGGCATTTTATAATGATGGTAAAGCTCTCTCATTCTCGTGCACACACTCACCCAGTGCAGGGCACTAACCCTTGCACTTGTTTGGGCATGTGTGTAAATGTCAGCTTGCACTCATCATCATATCTCTCCCTCAGTCTTTCTGCTATTCTCTCAATCTCTCCATTATCAAGACCTGAGGCTTGTGCCACAGAAGAGTTTTTCATGTTTTCTTCTCTCCATTTCTCTTTTTTTGCCAACTTCTCACACTATCAGTCTTTATCTGCTCTCTTTTCTTCTTCTTTTTTTTTGTACTTGCTTTCTTTCTCTTTTTCTTGACATTGCATCTAAATCATTGGTTCTTTCATATTAAAACCTTGGCTTTCACCTCATTTTGGCTGTCAACTCCAGCCAAATTCTACATGCTTACTACAAATAAACTGTACTGTACTTGGTTGCATTTTATTTTATGAATTCACCTGAGAGAATCTTCGGATGAGACAAACAGAGCATGTGTCTGTTACAGTTGTGTGCGGGGGCAGCACTTCATGTGTAATGTTGCTGCCTTTTGTTGCCTATGACTAAAATGACACTTAATGCAATTAACTTTAAAGTTTTTAATAATAGGTAAACAAGAGGATTCAGAGTCAAATACCAGAAACAGGACAGAAGTCTTATTTAATATGTTATGGGCAGAGAAATAACAGAAAATGAGACCCATGATGTGAGGAATATTGCACATGCTTGTAATAAGAGATTTACTTCCACGCAATTGAATTTTCTTAACACCTACATTGTGAACATGATCAAGGTCCTGTGACTCATTGCTTGAATCGCTTTTGGTTTGTTTTAAAAATTAGAATCTGAGGGTTGTCTCCTGCCTCCTCACAATATGTCCCTGCAAAGTTGAAAACCAAATCTCCATCTTTGGTAAGAAAAAGGAGCACTCATTCTATTCTTAGATAGATAGATAGATAGATAGATAGATAGATAGACAGATAGATAGATAGATAGATATGGGTGAATTCAGCTTAACTGGGGCAGTTTTCCCAGTCATCTCAATGGCAAAAAGTGTCCCAATTCACCTGAATTCAACACTTATATATATCGTTATTACAACGCTCTAAAGGTTAAAGGAGAACAGGTGCGGGGCGTCCCGCAGAATTGTATATGGAAAAAAAAGAGCAGACTCACACGCGTGCGTGACTGAAAAGCTATTGGATGACTCCAGATTGTCCACGTTATAATTCAGATGAAAGGGTTTCTCGGTGATGTTCTGATTGGTGTTGTATAGCTGAACGGCGAAGCGGAACGCGCTGTGTTCCTGGACCGTGGAGCGCATAAAGAGACCACCTGCATGCGAGATCAGATGAGTTAAGAGCATTTACTTGACTTTAGACTTGTTCGAGTGAGAGATAGTACTAGTAACATTCACATCATTTACACTCCGTTTGGCGCTAGAGATGCAAACTTCTCGTATGGAGTGTCTGTGGGTGATGCAGCAGGTAGATGAAGATCTCTGCTCGTTTCCAAGGAAGGAGATGTCTAATATTTTGATTAATAAATAATCAACTCACTCACCGATATTGATTTGGTTTGGAAAGCCTGCCTGGGTTTGCAAGACACAAAATGGTAATGACAGCAGCTGTAAACAGGCATTTTATAATGATGGTAAAGCTCTCTCATTCTCGTGCACACACTCACCCAGTGCAGGGCACTAACCCTTGCACTTGTTTGGGCATGTGTGTAAATGTCAGCTTGCACTCATCATCATATCTCTCCCTCAGTCTTTCTGCTATTCTCTCAATCTCTCCATTATCAAGACCTGAGGCTTGTGCCACAGAAGAGTTTTTCATGTTTTCTTCTCTCCATTTCTCTTTTTTTGCCAACTTCTCACACTATCAGTCTTTATCTGCTCTCTTTTCTTCTTCTTTTTTTTTGTACTTGCTTTCTTTCTCTTTTTCTTGACATTGCATCTAAATCATTGGTTCTTTCATATTAAAACCTTGGCTTTCACCTCATTTTGGCTGTCAACTCCAGCCAAATTCTACATGCTTACTACAAATAAACTGTACTGTACTTGGTTGCATTTTATTTTATGAATTCACCTGAGAGAATCTTCGGATGAGACAAACAGAGCATGTGTCTGTTACAGTTGTGTGCGGGGGCAGCACTTCATGTGTAATGTTGCTGCCTTTTGTTGCCTATGACTAAAATGACACTTAATGCAATTAACTTTAAAGTTTTTAATAATAGGTAAACAAGAGGATTCAGAGTCAAATACCAGAAACAGGACAGAAGTCTTATTTAATATGTTATGGGCAGAGAAATAACAGAAAATGAGACCCATGATGTGAGGAATATTGCACATGCTTGTAATAAGAGATTTACTTCCACGCAATTGAATTTTCTTAACACCTACATTGTGAACATGATCAAGGTCCTGTGACTCATTGCTTGAATCGCTTTTGGTTTGTTTTAAAAATTAGAATCTGAGGGTTGTCTCCTGCCTCCTCACAATATGTCCCTGCAAAGTTGAAAACCAAATCTCCATCTTTGGTAAGAAAAAGGAGCACTCATTCTATTCTTAGATAGATAGATAGATAGATAGATAGATAGATAGATAGACAGATAGATAGATAGATAGATATGGGTGAATTCAGCTTAACTGGGGCAGTTTTCCCAGTCATCTCAATGGCAAAAAGTGTCCCAATTCACCTGAATTCAACACTTATATATATCGTTATTACAACGCTCTAAAGGTTAAAGGAGAACAGGTGCGGGGCGTCCCGCAGAATTGTATATGGAAAAAAAAGAGCAGACTCACACGCGTGCGTGACTGAAAAGCTATTGGATGACTCCAGATTGTCCACGTTATAATTCAGATGAAAGGGTTTCTCGGTGATGTTCTGATTGGTGTTGTATAGCTGAACGGCGAAGCGGAACGCGCTGTGTTCCTGGACCGTGGAGCGCATAAAGAGACCACCTGCATGCGAGATCAGATGAGTTAAGAGCATTTACTTGACTTTAGACTTGTTCGAGTGAGAGATAGTACTAGTAACATTCACATCATTTACACTCCGTTTGGCGCTAGAGATGCAAACTTCTCGTATGGAGTGTCTGTGGGTGATGCAGCAGGTAGATGAAGATCTCTGCTCGTTTCCAAGGAAGGAGATGTCTAATATTTTGATTAATAAATAATCAACTCACTCACCGATATTGATTTGGTTTGGAAAGCCTGCCTGGGTTTGCAGCACCAGCCACGGCAGGAGCAGGACGCTCGCGTGCGCTCGGCGCCGCATTTTGTCTCCGACCTCTAGAATTCTTCAGCTCACGCGCAACATCCAGTCCGGGCGAGAGGGCGACAACAAAAACCGCCAGATGTGCACCGACTCCCTCACGCGATGCCGGAGAGGTGCATTCAGGCTACAGGACAAACACCGCGTACGAGCAAACAAGCGCAAGAGCTTCTCAATTCAGGTCAGAGCTGCGGATCATCCAATCGGACCGCTGATCAAACTTCATGTGACGTGAAATTACAACAGCACCCGCGTACGCGCAAACGCACGCGCGCAACCCGCCACTGCGGACCCGCGTGCGCAGTCCGCATACAGCGCAGAAAAATCGGCACGCGACCCTAGGAACAGTCCACGTCAAAGCTGTCCTTTAAACCCCTTATATTCTGCACAAATCCTGTGTCCATTCGCGCGCACAGTGGCAAATAAACACAAAAAAATAAAGTTCACACAACAACCCACAGGTCCGGAGCATTATATCCTACACCCGCGCGCTAGTCATATAGTGTTAAAGTATATGTCGAAAGGCGAGAGATATTGGTATAGGAGTCAATGAGGTGAACTGCATCAGTTTGAACTTCTAACAGAATATTAATATTTTATGTCGAGTAGAGGTGATCTCTGCAGGCTGTAAACTTGAGGTCTTGCATGTGTGTAAACAATTCACATTTGTGTTGTTCCTCATGATCAGGGGATTCTTGCTGTTTGAAGAGTTTTGAGATTAAATATTATCCAACTATTATTTTCATGTACGTGTTTATCTATTTTGTCCCGTGCATATCACTAGGCTATGTAAGTGATTTCCCCCCCCTTTTTTAATTCTCTGATCTGTTTGATCACTGCTGTTGGCTGTGTGTGTGAAGTCTGTCTCTGGAGTGCTTCAGATAACACAAGCTGTCCTTTCATGCTTCTAAGGACTGACTGACTCATATAGCGAAAACATGTTCATCTATAAAAATGCATTCGTGCATTTAGGCTGTTTACGCCAATATAGGATCTTTATTATTCTTGAAACACGCTCTACTCAGAGAAAAGCTTTCTGCAGGTGCCTGTAATTGTGTTATGCTTCCACATTTTCAGCCTTGGCATCACCCAAAACCGAAAGCTCACAGCTCTGAGCTGGATACGGCTAACAGTGACCCAGATTTCCTCAGCTCCTTATTTCCTATGTGTGTGTGTGTGTGTGTACTTGTGTCTATACTGACCATACAAGCCACGTCTGTGTACGCTGTGCCAGATTGATCAGACTGGCTCTCTTGTTGAATGCAGACACATACACACTCTCACAAACATCTCTCAAACTCACATTCAAAACACACACATATAAGTGAACCATATACCTGGTAATGTGAATTGACCACATTGTCTTTTGGCTAAATTTTGACTTGCAGCTTGATGTGCAGATGGCTGGATAAACCATGTGCACATAAAACAAATTCCGTTATGTGTGAATTCAACTCTCTCTATAAAAATAGTTTTTTTAAGTCATACATAATGGCTCTAAAGAGAATGGATTGCTCATCTTAATAATATTATTATTGAAATGCATTTAACATTGAGCTGGATGCAGATGAGCATGCAACACACCCACAATGCATTATTGCCATGGAAATGTTGAAGTTGTCTGCAGCTGGCTATTCCATTCTGAAAGAGCAGCACAGATGGAACGCAGCTGATCTGATGTCTTTTGAGTCCTCTATACTCCTAAGACAGTGAAAAGCACAAAAGTTATATTAGGGGGGAAAACATGAGATAAACAATGAGATAAAAACCGCAGCTGATCTGATGTCTTTTGAGACCTCTATACTCCCAAGACAGTGAAAAGCACAAAAGTTATATTAGGGGGAAAAAACATGAGATAAACAATGGGGTTTATCTCATGTGAATTGAGAAGCGCACAAGGTCACAAGCTGTGCAAAATACTGCACATACAATGCAAACCATTTTATTAAGCCTTAAAACTAAAAAACATGTTACTTTATCCAACGTAATAAAATATTCTCTTGATTGATTTGTTGTTGATTGGTAATAATTAGCACTACTGTATCCCCACTACACTTAACTTGTAGCACAACAGGTACAATGTCACTGTTCCAGGATAAATAAATAAATAAAAAAAGTTGTCATATAGTATATGCTCATTTTGAACCCTCTGAATTGTAGTTTTAGTATTTAACTAAACCTAAATGCTTAAAATTAGAATGATTTCAATTCTTGAATTGTTCATTAAAACTCATTCATGCACACATATAAAAAATCACTGCAAGCCAGGGTTATTATAGTTAACTAAAACTAAATCCATGAAAAGCATTTTTGTTTCTAGAATTAAAATGAACAGAAATACAAATAGACAGGCATCTGAGATCGGCTTGATTTGAGAAAGGGGAAAACATTTAACCAGATTAAAAAAAAAACACTGGGTGGATTTTTATCATTATAGGGCTGACATATACACTGCCAACACACATTTCAGTTCAAAATAACTTGTAAAAGTGCATGTAGCATCATATGACCCCTTTAAAGTTGTCCAAATTAAGTTCTTAGCAATGCATATTACTAATCAAAAATTAAGTTTTAATATATTTACAGTAGGAATTTTACAAAATATCTTCATGGAACATGATTTTTACTTAATATCCTAATGATTTTTGGCATAAAAGAAAAATCAATAATTTTGACCCATACAATATATTTTTGGCTATTGCTACAAATATACCCCAGCGACTTAAGACTGGTTTTGTGGTCCAGTTTATTTCAGCTTGGCAACATTTATCATTTTCATTTAGTTTAACTTTATGTACTAAAAAACTTAAACTAAAGCTGAAATAACAATTAATACAAACTATACAGACAAAATGAATAAAAGTTTAAAATGTAAATTAAACTAGAAAATATAAAATAATTAAATCCAACATATTAATAAAAACTATGTTAGTATCTTAGTTATACTAAATAACACTGCTGCAAGCTCAAGAAATTGATTAAAGGAACTTGTTAATGCATATGCATAATACAAACAGACACACCACATGCATCAGAAGCCCTAGGGAATTATCTGTCCTATATTCAGGCAAGTGGAAAGTTCATTCATTCTGCATAATGACAGAGTTGTGAACAAATTTAATTGCACTGCAGGTTACATTTAAATACTCGTGAGCTCACTCGCTCTCTCACTCTATGATCATCTCATTCTAGTGAAGTAGCCATTTGTCATTTACAAAACAAAAAACAATATGCTCAAGATTAGAAATTTTCAGAATTATTTTTTATGTCTGAGCGTATGATTGTATGGCAGCAGAAGCTGTTGTTTCTTGGACATTTTTGTATTCTATCTGGACATAATTTTTTATTGTTTGAAAATGTGCCTGTTCAAATATGCTAGTTGTAAATTAATTAAATAAATGTATTTGTTTGAAGTTTTTTTTCCTTCAAATAAAACAGGAGTGTGTGTGTGTGTGTGTGTATGTGTGTGTGTGTGTGTGTGTGTATTCAGTGCTCAGCACAGCTGTCACAGGGATCTCACCATAATGAATGTGCAGGAAGTGATGCGGAATTAAATGTGGCCAGTGGCATCAGCTGGTGGGCAGTCATCCAATGAGACACAAGAACAGCGTTTTGCAGCAATCACTCCATTTTCACACTGAAGAAAGAAATGGACAACAAGTGAGAATAAGGCAGTTCTTAGAGATGTGTCAGTGCAGATTAGGAATTTCAGGTGTGGAAGTGAATACAATGCTAAAAGACACACAGCACTTTGATGGTCATGCTGAAAAAAAAAAAGTAATCAATCACATCGTCAAATTTTAGCATGTATTTGATTGTGATCGTTGTCTGGTAAAACAGCAGCTCATGTTGTCTGATTCTAATTGGACCAATCGGCTACACAAGCTCCAATGGGGATTTAAAGAGAGCTTTCATCAGTGAACAGCTTTTCTCCATTTCAATTTCCAAGAAGGCAGTTGGCCCCAAACTGTCACATTAAAGATCCCATGAAATCAAAATTGGACATTTGTGGCTTTTAGTCCATGTCTGTAAGATTTTAGGCCATATACAGTATATGCTACTGTAGCCTACTCCTAAAAACTGACAAAACGAACTTCAAAATGTATAGTTTTCTCAAAAATCTTAATGTTGTTCTCAAAGGTATAGCCAAATTTTTGTCCAATAAAATGCTCTCCAGAATGAAAAAGTCCTAATCAACAAATAAAATTGTACTTGCTTGAAAGTGAATAACGCTAACCCAGTGACTTCACAAGTGTACTGACTGCACAATTATATCAGCAATTTGAGATTTAGCCACAACGCTCCTTCCAAATTGAAAGTGTTACTTTTTGTCACTTTATTAAGAAAGCCTATACCAGATTATATCAGTCACTATGAATTGTAAGTCTGCCTAAAAGGACAGCCAGTTTAGTATTTCTCCAGACACTTTCTCTCGCTCTCGCTCCATTCCCTTCACAATTCTGTTCCAGTCTGTGCGTTGGCGGAAAAAATACAGCCAAATTTTGTCTCAATAGTAACTTCTTGTTATTGAATTGTTATATAAATATCACACTATAAATCATGCTGTAGGTCTAAATATCAGCTTATATTCAAGTAAAACAGCATGACTGTGAAGCTGCTGTTGCTGATGTGTAAAAATACTTATATTTCTGTAAAATGATTCAAATCTGCATGGTTTAGGCCTAATGAATTAGGTTAAAATCTAGTTAACGCCTTTCAAGTCTTAGTGACCACAGCTCTGACAGATGATTTGTAAAAAAAAAATGTAATGTCAATAACGGCTAGCAAGGGAAGATGACTAACTGACTTAATCAGTAATTGGAGCATTGAGGGTCCACGACAGCTGACCGGAAAATTCAGATCTCAGAAACTCTAATAAGCACTTCATTTGCTTCAATTTTTTATTTTTTTTTAGTAATGGGATGCTAAACAGTAGCAAAAACAGTAGTAAGTCTAAGCTCTGTTTGTTAGAATATATATACTTTACATAAACCAATATTTTTAACATGTCTGAAGTGATGCTGACCAGTCAGAAACTGGAGGAGAATTACTGAAGTGATGAGGGGTATTTTACACAATGCAATGACCATGAGCCACCTGGAGTGAACACACACACACACACACACAGCACCAGGATCAAGCTGTAAATGATCCGATTGTTGATTATATGTGCGCGTGCCTTCATACCCCTCACTCACACTGGACATTCCGTAATAGGAACTCATGGTTGACTAAGCACACAAACGCACAGA